GAACATCTGAAGCTCAGAAACAGAGCTGTCTTTAGGGATGGGGAGTTTCTTGGTACCAGTTTGGCCCACTGGCTTTTGAAATGAAGTCTCTTTTTTGTGTGTGGTCTATCCTACAAGTCCCCAACCCTATTCAGCAAATTCAGAGGAAAGCTATCTTTCACCTCCTGGCCAAGCCCTGGTCCTGCTATAAGGCCTCCAGTCACCAGGGGAAGGGGATGGGAGGGCTAGAGAACTACTACCAAGCAGGATAAGAAACAATACCTCGGCAATTCAAGGGTAGAGACCCATACACCCAGCTTCATACAGCCTGTGAGCTTGATAGAGCCCCCTTGTTTCCAAACATACCCATACTCAGGATTATAAGGAGAGAATTAAGAGTGGAGGTAACTTTTCTTTTTGGGATCTAGGGGGCTGGGGCATAAGGGGAACAGTAAGAGCCGGGGCAGAGGGAGAGGGAAAGGGGCAGATGCTTTTCATGCCAGAAAAGCCCATGACTATACTGAATTATGGGAAATATCACCCTCTCTCTGCTTCTTCCTGGGAAAGGATGGGCTGCAGGAAAGTCTTTTCACACTGCTCCCTTCTAACACCTCTTTCCCTGTTGGAACAGCATTCTGGGAGATGAAGTCATTGGAATCTGGCCAAGAAATGCAGACAAGGCTGATGTCAACTGTGCATGTGTGACCCATGCTGGCCTGAACATTGTCACAGGAGATGACTTTGGGCTGGTGAAGCTCTTTGATTTTCCATGCACAGAAAAATTTGTGAGTGTTCCTCAGATACCCTCCCTGAACTGGCTCTCTTCTGCAGTCTGCAGAAGAGCTGCCACATCTGGACGGCCCTCTATGAGGTACAGAGGGATCAATCTGTGCATCTGGCAGCCCTGGCCATTTGGCAATACCTAACCTTTCCATCTCTATCTGGAAAGGAAGTCTTGGTAGCCAGGAGAAGGTGGGATGTAGGGTAGACAAAATGGCCACAAGTGGGGCAAGAATGAGACAGGAAAGCCAGTGAAAAGCTGACTGAGGTGTGCAGACCAAATGGGAATCCTAAGAGTGAAGGAAGGTTTTAGAAGGAGGGGAGAATTGAGTCTTGGAGGTGTTATGTGGTTGCTGGAAGGACCATGGCCTCTTAGTTGTCTCCATTCATTTTCGCTCACAGGCCAAGCATAAGCGTTACTTTGGTCACTCAGCTCATGTGACGAACATCCGTTTCTCTCATGATGACAAGTATGTGGTCAGCACTGGAGGAGATGACTGCAGGTACCAACCGGATGCATGTGGTTCTGACCCCCCTCCCACCTCCAGGTCCCTGGGTCAGCCCCTCCCAGGGACACAGGGAGAGGCTGATATAAACAGGAAATTCAGCGAGACAAAGACTTTCAAATATAAGGTATTTTGTCTCTGGAGACTCTCAACCCAGATCCTGACAGGCCTGGTCCCAACTACAGCTCCCTTGGGATTGGCAAAAAGCTAAAGGCATGTGAATAGCAACTCTGAGCATTGCTGCAGGAGGGGGTGGGTAGGTGGGTGAGCCACTCAAGACAGCTGCTGTCAGTGGGAGCTCTTGGCATACAGAGCCCATGGTGCCACTGCGTATAAATTATCGGTAGGTCATAATGGTCTTGATGCATTATGTCCTTTTAAGAACTCCCAGTTGATCCTGGAGTTTTAAGATATATGATTAATCCATAGCCCAAAGAGGTTTAAAAACACCAATATTGCACCCCAGTCAACTTGAGAAACAAGCAGGGCAGGTGTTACCCCCATTTTACAGATGAGATGAGCTGAGAGGTAATACAATTAAGCCTAGTGCCATAAGAACTACCTCAACCAGGTCTTTCGACCTCTGTGCCAGGGCTGTTTTTTTGACCCCAACTGCTGCTCCAGGTGAACTAGGCACACTGTTCTCATAAGGCATGCCCGAGGGACTCCTACCAGCTTAGTCCAGATGACAGTCTCTCCAGCATTCCCAAGGAGGCCACTGTCTTCTGTCTCTATACCCAGGGTATATCTCACTAGGAGTGTGGAAGAACATGGCTGGGTCATTCTAACCCATTTAGCTTCCCCACATGGAGTTGAAGAGTTTTAATGAATACTGGTTTCTGTTAAGCCAAAGCAAAAAATTTTTTTTTGGGGGGGTGATGAACAAAGTATCCATGTGTTCCAGATATTTTTTGATGGTCTGAGTTAGGCTATGGAAAAGGGAGCTGTAGACAATTTCAGCCCACTTCCCACCCAAATACATTATATAGACAATGGTGCCAAGGATGAGTTCCTATAGCCTGCCTGGGAGCCCCACCTCTGGTTCACTGTGCCAACGACTGCTGGTACTTAGAGCCCTTGAGATAGTACTGACAGCAGTTCCCTGTGGAGTGTAAGCACACATTTGAAACAACCCCAGCCAAACTCTGTACAAGGTAGGAATAAGAGACATAAGCTCTCCAGTGCAGGAGATAGGCGGTGGCTTCTGATTACTATAAAAGGTATAGAAATAAACTTAAAATGCAGGGCCCCTATATGTTCATAGGCATGAGCGCTTGCTCTGATCCCTGGCTCTGTGCTAAGCACTAGAAAGGGCTCTCCTACTCAAGTGGAGTTGATAAACTTTTCAACAGTAACAAGAGAGACAGTGTGAAGTCAGGTTGCCAGAAGTCCTCACTGCCCACATCCAGCAAATGTGCCCCACCACCCCCAAAAAAAGGACCCAGAGTGAGCAGCAGACCTTGAATTGGTGGCAAGACCACTGGTTTGCTTTTTGAAATCAAAATAGTCAATAAATCACCTGAGCCTGACTTTTGAGTACTTGGCAACACTGGTCTTTGCCATTTGGTGAAAGTAGAGTGTCCAGCCACACAAAATGACTGTTTGGTCTGCTTTTCCAGTGTGTTTGTGTGGCGATGTCTGTGAATGCCAGAAACTTCTTACATTATTGCTGCTGCTGCTACCACCCAGCAACTACAGAGGCAGTGACGAGGAAGCCCCTCGCCACAGACTGCTGGGAATGCCTGCCATGCTATGGGACGCACAGGCTCGGAGGGCACGAAACCATGGTCGCTTCTATGGGCTGGACTCTCCAAAGATGTGGTGCCAAGAAGGAAGGTCAAGTTCTAAGACATTAAGACTGCTTGCCTCTGTTCCTGAGACTAAAAGCTATACATACTAAATTGACAACAAAAATCTGATAATGTAGCCCACTGACAAAATTGAACGCCTCAGTTACCCTAATTGATATGTAGCTTTTAATTTGCATCAACTTTTAAAAAAGATGTTTTGCTATTATGTTTCTATATACTTTAAGAATGTTCATCTTTTTACAAATAACAAGACAGCTTAAGTTAGATGCACCGAAGTACTAGAAATATTAATAGCCTCTGTTCTCCCCATTTAGCTTTCAAAAACCAAACGAGCCATGTATAAAGAAGTTTGAGAAACTTAATTTTTTAATGTTTCATTTGCAGAGTTTTATATCCATTAAGTGCCTTTGAAAGTTTCCAGTTGTGTGGGCTGCTTGCTGTCTCACCTCCCACAAATTACCTGCTTTTTACATATGGTGCTAAAACTTTGAAACTGAAGAGGGCTACAGGATCCTTAGCAGATGTATGTCTGTCACTCATGTCCTGTGTGTATGTCAAGGCTTCCAAAATAAACGAAGGACATCAGTTACCTGCTTGGGAAATTGTGGGTACAGGAAGGTGAGCAGCAAAGAAACTAAAGAGTTCAGGAGGGAGGGGCTAGAATGGGTTTTCATTAAATTTAGTGCCAAATCTAAAAAATCCAATACAGAAGTCAAACAAAGCAAACCTCTGCTAGAAAATGGAAGCAAAACACGAACAAAAAAGTTCTAGTAGGTCCAAGAGGATGCACTTACTTCTCTTGTTAAATCTTAAAATGGTAGTAAGTGAGGTGACCTGAGGATGCACCTCGGTTTATCACCCTCAAGGGGTACTGACTTGACTCCACTGATTTGCTTCAGGTGAACTATAGGTCAAGTTCAAATCAAAATCTCTGCAGAACCAATTCCTGAATCCAAGCAATCTTTGATCAAAAGTATAAACAAAACAGTTTAGAGTTCCTCAGAGTGTTTTATAATAGAATGTGACTTGGGCAATATTAACCAGAAGAGCTCCCTATATCACCTCAACCATATGCCACACCTCCCACTGACCACAGGATGGCCAGCAGGCTGTGCTGAATGGAAGAGTGGGGAGGGCTGGTGACCCTGGGTGCATAGCACCAACTGGTCCTTCCAGTCTGGATCTTGAGCTTTTGACTATTTGCAGTTATTTGTTTAAAGAAAAGGTGAAATGAAGCATTATCAGTTAAAAAGAACAGATTAACAGTTAACCACAGAAGTGCTTCAGCATTCTAAATGGATGAGATCACTCACAGCTATTTTTATATGCCAGTTTAATTAATGCCTTATATTAATCCACTGATAGGTAGTTTGCTGGGCCAACAATCCGAGTCCCTATGCAGTCCTAATTCTGTTTTCTGTTTCCTGTAACCATGTGACTGGTGATGCTGAGTGATAACCATGTCTGCCTATGTTGTACTAACCTTTCATACTGACTGATCTTGTTTTGAAATAACCATGTGGAAGGACAATGAACTGACCAATGGTGATATACGTACAACTATATTTAAAGAGCAATAGTGTCTGTGTGTCAAGAAAACTTCTTAAATCTTATTATTTGTAAACATTTATATGATTTTAGGTATGTTCATAAATCCTGCTCTGTATCCTATATATGTTAAAATGTTGGTGCATGAATTTATTTTCAATTATCAAAGGATGAAAAAATACACAATTTAAAAACATTTTGGTATGTGGCAAATAAATTTGATTAGGTAAACATGTTCTTTGTTGATTTTTGTTTTCAAAGTAAACACAACTGCACCATGAGCTGAAAACCTTCCTAAAAGTACAAGCTACCACCACTGGATAATATACCCTTTGTGTATACTTCTAATCGGCAAGTGTCACGAAACCAGCATACGTTAAGTCTATAAGCTTTATTGATGCTTCGCTTTTACAATTCACAATGCATTCCACAGATTTAGTTCAGTACAGCTTAAACCACAATTGTATAAATCTTCAATTTATAATTTCTTGCATAACAACATTTGATATTTGCAAACAAAGTTTTTGGAAGCATTAAATTCAGTCCATATATTCAGAGTTTGTGACAAAATTAACTACAGGAAGTTTGTGCGATGATGTTTAGGCTGAGGAGTCCTATGTGCATGGCCTTGTTTCATACCGAAACAGACGGCAGTGCTCCTAGAAATGTATTTTCTTGTTCTAGCTTATGTGCTTTGGAACTAAACACATATAACCAACGACTCTGAAATATCAAGCACTGTGGGGCAGCTGGGAGGTAAAGGGCTAAGCTTTGTGAAACACTATATATAGATATATATATAATCTATATTTACTTATATTGGCAATTAATGTAACAGTATAATTCACAATACACCTAGAACATACCAGAAAGGCAAGCTTTTTCATTCCTGCTTTAGTGGTATGATCTCGTCTAAACATTTCATTTCAGAAAATCTGCATCAATCTACACAGACCATACACAGTGCACAAACTGTGAAAAGGGTTATTGTTTTCAGCTCCACTTTCTCTGCAACTTCCCAAAATACAGCAAGACTACCTGTGACAAAGTGTACTATACAGCTTCCTCAGATCTCTCACCAGTGCCTCACACAGAAAAAACAAATATAATCACGGTTTAAATCCATACAGAGCAGCTTACAATACTTAAGATGATGAACACAGGGCAGTCAAGACAGGTAATTTTTCCTCAAACACTGCATTGCTAAAAATAAAGATCTGTGAAACTGCACTGCAATGTCAAGGCTGCATTCTTCCCTGGCCCTCCCCCACGTGATCGAATGAATACCCCCTTTAAAGATGAATTCCCATTGTTAATTAGTTTGGACTTTTTCATTCAGTTTTACGCTTTAATCCAGGGATTTTCGCTTGGATTCTGCAAATGAAAAGAAAAGAGAAAATGTCAACGGAGTTAAAAGTTTACATATTGTATTTTCTGCTGCTTTAAATGCCATCCTTCAAAAGAACTCCTCAGAAATTTCCACAAGATATGATATCCTAGAGATGCCAAATTATAGGCTATAATTTTCCCACCTTGGTCTTACAAATGAGAGTTAAACAAAGCCTGAAATACTCACAGGAAACCAAGAAATTAATGGTACAAATGAAAGGAAAAAAACTTTTTGGCAATTCTAATATCACAACTTAGGGTCTTATAAAGATTTGCTACTCATCATGCCCATAATATGAAGACATTGCATTGTTCTGAAGCCCAGCACCCCTCATCCTTTAGTTGTAACATTGCAGACTTTAATGACTTACTTAGCCATAGCATCCTTAACACTCTTGTTCGCAAGTCCTAGATAATGATCTATCTGAGCCTGCAAGAGAGGAATGAAAAGGAGTTATCAGAAAATTACCACTGTGAAAGATGCTTACAACCACTACTTGTTCCAACAAATGAAAGGTTTAAAAAATTATCACATTTCTCATATTTTAAGGCTTTAGAATCTAGCACGGATACAAGTGTAAATCCCACATAATAGAGAGACCTCTATATTCTAAAACCTGGAGTTAAGAAATTACCTGATGCCGTTCATAAATAACAGGAACGCTGAAGAGTGAAATCAAGGCTGAAAAAGGAAAGACATAACTGTTAGTGAAGAATTGTATGTTTTAGGGAACAAACACTAAACACCATCTTACGAAAGCCAGGCAGTAGTGTCCCTTATGAATGAATAAAAACACAGAACCATCTCCCAGATGTGAGTGCTGCTGGGGAGTCATTCTTGACTTTGAATCCCAGTTCACAGACTTTATGAAATATAGGCATACCTGATTAGTTAGATTTATCACTGTAACATCAATAAAGCCACTCTTTAATCTGTCTACCACTGTTAGCTGGAGCAGTCGTTAGGAACTAAGTAGCATTTCAGTAAAGCTAGTACCAGCAATTTATTTAAAGCAATCACAACCTCAAATGTACTTCCTCTATTTTCCCTTATAAGAATATTCTCTCTTAAAATGTCTCTAAACAACTTGCACACCATCTATTTCATTTTGCAATTTTTCATACCAATGGTTTTGTATACTTACCCAAAATCAGTAGTGTCAGACCATTGAACAAGGCACCCACATAGGTGAAGACCCACATCAACACCGCAAACTATAAGGAAATAACATGAACTTACTAAAAACACAATTCAAGTAAAAGGTCTTAACTAAGCTTTCAAATAAAGGCATCCCATATGCATGCCAATCTACCAGAGGCATATACCTTAGAGACTTGGTAAAGTAATATGATTACTTCCCCTCTAAGTTACCAGAATTTCAGAATCCAAATTAAAAATGATAGATTTATCTTTTCTGAACAGTACAAGTAGTTGATTCTTTTTTCTCTGATATAACAAAAATTGCCAAAGGTATACTTTACCCCCATAGCTCTAATATTTAGCTTTTCAATGGGCAGACTGAAAAGGTAATTACAAGAATTAGCTATTAACATTAAAAGAACAAATTATGTATTTGAAGATACATATGAACTGAACAATCAAGACATTAAAATCTCAAGACATCTAGGTAAGCCATAATGGGGCTGGGAATATCTTATTATCAGAGAAACTAGGTTTCAGGTACCAGAGCATCACTGCTGTATGTTAATGGTTAGAGGTACTGTCTGCCCAGTGATACATGTGTTAATAGCCACAGCTAAGCCCAGAATGAGGACTCCTCAAATTTATACCTGCATAATAAAACTAACATTATTCTTTTAGTCACTGTCTTCTTTATATTTAACAAAATCACTACTATAGTGCTTATAATGTGCCAGGCACTAATATAAACTCATCAAATCTTCTTAACAATCGTATGACGTAGGTATTATCATCATTACTGTAACAGATGCAGACTCTAAAGAATAGAAAAGTTAATAACTTGCCAAGGTCATATTACACTGTTCCCTCCAGGGGCTGGGGGCCACAGTGAACTGATGATAAACTCTCCTACATTAGTGCCCCTGGCCTCGAACCTGGATGTCTCTTATCATCAGGCAGTGAGGGAAAGGCTTTGCTTCTAAAAGGTTATTCATTTTGGAGAAGTCCTTATTTCCTCTATACACTTTAGTTTATTGAATAAACAGCTGGATGAAAGAATTTCTAAATTGTCTTCAAGCTCTAAAACATTGTGATATCATGTCACACAAAGGCACAACGAATTATGCTCAAAGCAGTTCCTGAAAACTCATAAGCAAAATCAGTCTGGGCTTCCTTTAGCAGCAGCAGTAATGCCCTGCTTCCTAGTCACAGCCTTCATGTGTCTGGTAGCCACCCTGCCCTATTTAGTAACAACACATCACCATGGCGCCATCACTGAGTGATTATTCTGGTGCACATAACATGGCACAAACAGAAAGAAGGTGAGGAGACAGGGCTTAGCGCTTCGATTACCTACACCATGGCTCAGCAGACTTCTGTAAAGGAGTTTTATGGGCCACATGAGGTCTCTGTGTCATACTAGTCCTTTGTTGTTGTTTTCACAACTTCTGAAACATTTAAAACCCATTCTTAGCTTCAAGGCTACACAAAAACAGGCCATGGTCCAAGTGGGCAGTGGCTTGCTGACCCTTGATATAAAGCATTATCTTTCTTTCATGTATTCACTCATTTAACAAAATCTGATTAAATGCCTACTGTGAGCTGGGTACTGAGCATTAACTAAGGTATTTAAATTCTAGTAAGCACACTTACTGCAGGTTAGGAACACTCTGGATTCTTCCACCAACTGTCAGTTCCACAAATAGCCAATACTCGGGTTACCCCGACAAGGGAATTTAACTAATGTTCAACTAAGTAAATGTCAGGCATTCTTACCAGTTGCACCTGCCAATTAAAAACCAACAGTTCAGTGCTGCCCCACTCTCAGCACATGCTGAGGGGCTCTGGTGGAAAAGTCTGGAGCATGACTGCAGTTCACAAACCGTTCCCTTCTGACATATTTTCTTGACTCCTGTTGCAGAAACTAAATAAAACTCTGCACTTGAGAGAGTTTACTATAAAGTGGCAGAACTCTTTTGATACACCACCAACCAGAAGCCTACAGGGAAAAGAGTCAATCTTCCACAGTTTAGAAGAAACTGATTTAGCAATATGGACACTCTACCAAGACAGAATTCAAACACAAACACAAGTTGGAAAAACTTCCTAATTAGGTCATTATACAGTCATTGACCAAGGTTATACTTCAAATCCACACAGAACGAAGCACTAGACTTCATACCTGGCTCAAATGTCACCTGCCTCTCGAAGGATAGTCTTTCTAAAAGCCAGGTGATCCAGAGGCAAAAAAGAACAGAGGTAAGCCTCAAATATGCTTGGAGACAGGTAGGTGACATAAGTGCAAATGGGTGGAGTATACTATAATACATCATCCCTCACAGGGGGGCACCCATACCCTAGGCTCCACAGCTGCTACCATGCAACCATTTCCACATTGCCAAATTTTCCCATTTTAACAGAGAAACCAGAAATTCACATTTTCATGTGCTATCGTGGCAATTTTAAATGTGGCAGCTAAATTTGGAGAAAACCTAAAACCCTGGCAGCCCAAAACAAAAATACTGGAAAAGTTCCTGGGTGGTATAGACTGTCTGCACTTGGCTAATAACCCAAAGGGTACTGGTTTGAACCCACTCAGTGGTACCATAGAAAAATCAGACCTGACGAGTGGCTTCCTTAAAGATTACAGCCAACTGCCCTCTGAAACCCAGAATCTCCCGAAATGAACACATAAACAAATGCCTCAAAAATACTGGATAAGGATTTCTAGCAAATACACCATCAGATCAGAGGTGACCTAAGAACCAGCATTGTAGCAACCCCACAATTACTGGAACTGTTCCAGAATGGCAACAGCTGACCTTATATTTTCTTGAATGTTTATTGTGTGCCCTATGAACTGAAAACCTCATGGATAGCAATGAAACAACTGTGTGACAGTTGCTAGGCTTTGTACACATCAGGGCAGATAATTCTTATAACCTCAGAAGTCCAGTACTACTATTATCCCCACAAAAGAGAAAACCAAGACACAGAAAGATGAAGCAAACTGCCAGGCCAGACGTCACACAACTAGTGATCTCTGGTTTATCTGAGCCCAGAGTCTGTGCCGCTGCACTGTGAAGCCACCTAGAGAGCAACCCTCATTAATGCCACAAATGTGCATGTCATCCAGTAGGTGCACAGGGGGAGAAAAAATGCCGATAAAACACCTCTTTAAAGAAGCAAATGGGCAGCTCTCATCTTGAACCTACAACTTCTATGCTATTTTATGGCAAATATTTTGTAACATTACAGCCAATGCACACTGTGGAAAGTCAAAGCTCCTCTCTTCTTTGGGCAGTAATGAGGACCAGAGGAAAGAGACTAGGCAACGAATGTCTAATAAATACAAACTGAAGGAAGGCAAAGGCCATAGCACGTTTGTCTTTCTTCCAGGGAAGTGAGGCAAAAAAACCAAACTCACTGCCATCAAGTTGATTCCGACTCATAGCGACCCCCAACTATCTATGCAACATGTACCTGATTTAAAGAGCTCTGCAGACACCTATTAGATGATGTCTCAACTGCAAGGGGCATCTTTCAAGGAAAATGGGGGGAGGGGGTGCACCACTTAATAAAACTGGAGAAATTACCTTGGCAATTCTGACCACTTCACCACCTCTGCATTCTTAAACAGCAGGAGCTCTGGTAGCATAGTGCCTAAGGCGCCACACCAGCCACTCCTCGGAAGGAAGGTTGGGCAATCTACTTCCATACTGATAATGCCTCAGAAACCCAAGGAGGGGTCGCTATGAGTGGGGGCCTCAATGGCGCGTAACAACGACCTTTCCAGGTGCCTCCAGAACCCTCGTGAGGTAGTATCACTCTGACCATCTATACTCCCCCCAGCCCTCTGACCTTCTAGTTTTTCTGTAAGCCAAAGAAATCTGAAAGAAAACTGTTGAAATGTGCACACTAATAACTGCATGAGAGCCTGAGGACCAATTTTAATGCTCTTTTGGGTCAGCTATTTCTGGAGCTGAGGTCTTCTTTGCTCACTTTCAGATCTGAGATTTGTGTTCTGGAATGTTCTAGAAATTTTCTTATACATAATTTTGACATGAAAAGAGCCTTTGCCTAAAGTACTTGGTCTTAGTCCCTAGTAAGTAAAATTCTTAGGCTTCTTCTTGGGATTTGGAGTTTCAAAAGGCAGGAATCTTCTAAGAAAGCTCAGAGCATTACTCAGGAAGCCCCAAAGCTGGCCCTAGAAGAGACTGTTGTTGTTATGTGCCGTCAAGTCAGACCCGAGTCATAGTGACCCCTCCTTGGGTTTCCAAGGAGGCAGTATCACTATGGAAGTAGATTGCCCAACTTTCCTTCCGAGGAGTGGCTGGTGGCTTTGAACCGCCAGCCTTCTGGTTAGCAGTCAAATGCTTTAGGCACTATATCACTAGAGCTCCTCCAGAAGAAACTAGCATAAGCATTTCTTTTCTAATTAGAGGAGCAGGCAAAAAAAACCAACTATAACCAGTAGAGTTTATAGCTTAATGCTACAGTTTTTCTAAAAACTGTGAGTCTCCAGGTAGTACCACCAAAAAAGTAAACTAAAATTTCAGAAGGTATGACCCCATGGTCTGCTTCTGCCATCTTTTCCTTGGTATCAACAAACTTTATATCTCCCCAGGTGATTCCAATGTGCAGGCAAGACTGAGAGTCACAGTTTTAATAAGAATGCTATCAGAGATCCCTTACAGATTAATTACAGAAACCAAGTTAAACTTTAAACTAGAAACAAAAAACCAGTTGCCATCAAATCAGTTACAACTCATGGTAACGCCATGCATGTCAGAGAAGAACTGTGCTCGGTCGGGTTTTCAGTGACGGATTTTTCAGAAGAAAATCTCCAGGCCTTTCTCTTGAGGCGTCTCTGGGTGGACTTGAATCTCCGACTTTCTGATTAGCAGCCAAGGGTTTAACTGCTTATCCTGTCCAGGGGGCTCCAAACTCTTACCTCCCACCAAACTCACTGCTGTCAAGTCAATTACAACTCACAGCAACCCTGTAAGACAGAGTGGAACTGCCCCCATAGGGTTTCCCAGGCTATAAATCTTTACAGACACAGATTGCTTCATCTTTCTCTCGCAGAGCAACTGGTGGGCTTGAACTGCTGACCTTTGGTAACTGTCAAATGCTTTAACCACTGCACCACCAGAGCCCTAGAACCTAGAAATTTGTACGTTTTATAAATTTGAAGGCACCAAACAGAGCTTCCATTTATGAAGACTGGGCTATGGGAAAACGTTTTCAAATTTTTGTTTAAAAGCTATTAAAATGAGTCTGAATCAACTCGATGGCAGTGAGTTTGTTTTTCTTGGTTTAATTTACATAAGCCACAAACTTAATGCAATGCCATTTTCTTGACATAAGAATTCACTGTATTTTCTTGAGATTAGAATGGTTTCTATTTTCCTAGCTAAAAATAATGCAAAATCAAAGTAATTTCAATTAAAAGCTAGTTCCGATCTTAAAAATAAAAGAAGAATTAACAAGATCACAAATTCATGTAGAAACTGGAAAGACTATGGCTATTTATTAACAAATTTCCACAGGCATAAAATCTAAATACAAAGAAGTTTAAAAAAAAACAAGTCTAATGGCAAATAGATGTTTCTTTTATATTGAAAAGTGGAAAAAAAACAGAACTAGAATTGAAAAATCATTTTGGTTTGTTTTAAGGTACAAGAATATGACTTCTTTTACCAGTTGCTGTGGCTGAAAGGCAAAAAATAACAGAGTCTATTCCAGACAAAAAAAAATCTTGGAAATATGTTGTCCTCTATATAAACAAAAATTCTGAGGGATGAGAGAGGCTATACAGAGGAAAGTCAAATGCTCGCTCAAGGAGCTCTCCCCACTACAAAGGTAACTGAATCACTATCATAAAGAGCCAAGAGTGATGAACAATTTATTAGCTTCTCCCTTTTTACAATGAAACATTTATGCAGCACTCTTACTTCGTGGAAATCAACATAAAATGAAATCTGTACTACTCAGACAATGACATCAATAAAAGGTTTAAGTTCCTGTGTGGCAGAGCCACTAGGTTTATGGAAGATGACCTTCAAATACATTACAGAGTGACTGCCTGATTACCAAGTCCTTAGCACTCACTACACCTGTGTGCAGGGAGAAAAAGACAGCCACCTGCCTTATTCTTCTGCTTCTTAATTAACAACAGATTCTGAAAACTAAATACAAAGCTCATTTTATGTTCTGAAACAACTGGTATTTATGTGGTGTTCTGCGTGAATCTGCATCCAGGGACGTCACCGAGCAGCTTTCCTAGAGCGCTGTATTGCCAAGAAACACTTCTTAGGAAAACCAATCAAGTGAGTTTTCCTCTTCTCTTAGTTTTTCAAAAGTAGCCATAAATCTTAAGGAGAAAATGTAACAACTATAATTTTAATATGTTTCTATCTTTTAATATTAAAAAGCAAAGAATAAAAATATAAGAAAGCTCTATAGAAACAAAATGTTCTGAAAAGTAAATTCATCTCATATGTCACTTTTGTTACTTTCAAATTGGAAAGTCACTCAACTCAAGAAACTGATCAAATTTACCTTCTCTCAATCATTTATGCTAGCTTCCTCCTGAATAACAATGGCTTTGAAAATTCTAAGGTAATTTTTTTAAAAAATTGGAAAATGAGATTCTTCCTCTCATGAAAGTAATTTCTTCATAAATGTTTCTCATATTCTCAAACATCTATGCAAAAAAGAAGAGACTTAAAAGGTTCCCTAAGTACCCAACCAGGCCTCCCCTGACATTTTCTTTTCTCCCTTCTCTAGAGCAGCCTTAATAATTTTTCCCACCTACAAAACTGTCTTCACAATTATGGACCATGTATGGATGCCAATAAACTCTGAAAGACAATGAAATTTCATTTCTATTAAAAACAAGTAGAAAGTTTAAACTCAAACTTATCAAAACTGGTATACAACAATAAATCATTCTAAGAGCAAATTATTTAATTTTGTTTTTTAAATAGATGTCTTCAAGAATGCCTCTTCTCTCCAAAAAAACATTAAATGCTGGACACAGAGCTGCCTTCATAGCTATACTGTACACAAATGAAGGATGACTTTCAATGTCGCCATCTTTACTGAGTCTGCATGAAAAAGCAGACTCTTTCCCCTATCTAGCTTCATGATGCCTCTGTGTCTGAAGTCACCCCTCTTCCTCTTGACAGCTAAATTCAGAGATGGCCTTTGCTGTTTAAAGCACGGTCTCATGACTTAAGAGTGTTTCTTTTCAATCCATTCCTACCCACCCTCACCCATCTTACACTACACTAGCACCTCCCTCAATGATTCCTCACACATTATACCCCTGCAGTCGGGGTGTGCATAGCAAATATTGCTTCAGTGAATATGAGATGGTTCTTCTAGGATCTGTATGCCCAAGTTCAATTTCATACTCCAAAACATTTATTTGCTCCATTTTGAAACTAATTAGTAAAACATGCCAAATAATATATTCATGGTATTTCTTTTTTTACAGACTGACATCAGATCATTTCAAAGCACTGGCATAGAGTAAGTCACCAAATGCAACCACTCTATACAAGAGATATTAAATAATAAGAAGGAAGCTAAATTATTTACCACTGACTTACACGTAATTGAGGCTCCAAGTCTTAAATAAAATGAGAGAAGCACATGGCTAAAAATAATATATCATCTACCGGCTTATAAAGACTTCATTTGTTAAAACCATTTTAAGCATTTAAATCTATTCTGACCAGTTCAGAAAATGTTTAACTGAGTCTAAATGTCCTACTGTTACATGCTATCCATGACTTACACAATAAACTGGAAAGTAGTGCAAATCTCTTGGAAAAGAAATATTATGATAATTACTACCATACTGCACTTGCACCCAGGCTTTGATAGGAATTGACAGCAGCAGCACACAGAACACAAATGGCCTGCTCCATGTAAAGGAACTAAAGCACTACATAAGGCATGTTCCAGCACTAAAGTTCCAGTGCATGGAGCGCGGGCCACACACCTGTGGCTCAGTGCTTGCTGTGAGTCAGTCTGAACTTTGAGAGAGTTGATTTGCAAAGTGAGCAAAGTAATAGCTGCTACGTAGTGCAAGCTCCAAAAACAAAAGAAAAACTTTTAGCAATTACCAATTGAAGATTAATTGGGATATTACAGAATATAAAACACTCAAAGAAAGAGTTCAAGATATGAAAATAGCTTATATTTGTTTGTGAATTACATAAGAAATTAACTGCTAGACTCCTAAAACAAAGCCAAGCAGATTAAATCACATGTGGTATTAAATCTATTAGATGATGTTTACTCTTATAGTCAAAACACCTTTCACTTTCATCTTTATGATTTCCAAAAGTAAGAATTGCATATATATTATTTTCCTTTACAAAGCAATAGCACACTTTCCTCTATCCTAAATATCTGATTGTCACATTCTAAATTTTGAAACCTAAATTTACTTTAATGCTAAGTTTATAGTAATGAGATTTCATTATGTTTTTATTATTTACTTGAATATGAATATTAAAAAATTGTAATTCTACACTCAACTCTTTTGATGTTAAATTCTGGACATGTTAAAAATGTGAAACAGAGTGAACTTACCTTCAGGGAGTCAACTAAATCATCAACTAAGAAGAGGCGTCTGAGTTCTTTTATCGTGCAGTTCACATGGCCCAGGGCAGAATTACTGTATTTCTGAACCAACTCCTCAGATATAGCCACTTCAGATTCCAGATATGCCCTAGAAGACAAAACACAGTGTAACTGTCACTGACTGTGGTGATTTTCTCTAAACGGCAGCCAGCAATTATATATGCCTACTGTTTCTAAATTAAGCACTATACAGAAGTTCAACAAGCAAGGATTATTTCATATACATGCCAAGTCAGCTAACCAGCATGGAAAAAGCACATGCGTTGAAGCCTGACTGATCTAGCTTGCTCTTAAGCTCTGCCACTTACATGGCTGGGTAACTCTGGGCAAGTTAGTCTTCCCTCTAAACCTCAGTTTCCTCATTTATAAAATAGAGATTATGATGACAATTCAATGAGGATTGTACAAAGCACTCAATCAACAGTAGTTACTGTATTATGTGTTTGGTTTTTTCTTTAAACTGGCATTATGTAGTCTCATAACGTTTTCCTCACAAAGATTCTATACATTTCCAAATCCTATACTTACTGAGCCCATCAGACTGTAAAATGGATGCTCAAAGTATCCATTTCAATACCCCAATCTATAATAATGAGATAACTGGAACTGTTAAATATAAGAAGACAACTATACAGGGGGAGGCAGGGAGAACTAAGTTAGCAGGAACACAATAAATTGTTTCATTAATTATTGCTTCTAAGAAGCCATTTATTTCACAGAAGAACCACATCCGAAGTGCTAAGCATTCTCTAGTAAGTAGTTCCTTACTAGTCCCTCCTCATCACTCCCTCATGCCTAAGGACACCACTCCAGTTACTTACACTGGAAACAGCAGTCCTCTGACAACTCCTTATCCCACAGTTCCACCTCTGCAAAAGGCCCCAAACATGTCTCCTCATTTTTGTTCACAATACCATCACTCTAAGTTTAAGCCCGTAACACTTATAAACTGGAATAGTCTATCAGTCTCCAAACCACCCTCTGATCTGTCTGCATTTTAATCCATTCCTTCAGCCAATGGCAAAAAAACAAAAACACCAAACCCAATGTCACTGAGTTGATTTTGACTCACAGCAATCCTAAAGGACAGAGCAGAAATACCCCATAGGGTTTCCAAAGCTTTATGCAAGCTATCACATCTTTCTCCCAGAGCAGCTGGTGAGTTTGAACCACTGAATTTTTGGTCAGCAGGCAGGCCCTAAACCACTGTGCCAATAGGGCTCCTTCAGTCAATGTTAGCTAGTCAAATGTGAGCTATCCTAGAGAGCTCTATCGAGGTTAAACTCTGGGGGGAGTTAGGAGATCTGCTACTACCCAGCAATGCAACCTTACAAAAGGCATTAACTTCTCTGGGACGTGATTCCAAGTCTGTAAAAATTAGAGAAACAAGGTTTCCTAAGTCCCTTCAAAGAAGCCTATAGGGTTGATCTGTCCTGTAGGAGCTCTGGTGGTATAGTGCCTAAGGCATCTGACTATTAACCTGAAGGTTGGCAGTTCAAACCCACCAGCCACTCTGCAGAACGGCACTCTACTTCCGTAAAGATTTACCACCTCAGAAACCCAAAGGGGGTCACTATGGGTCAGAACTGACTCAATGGAAGGTTTCTTTTTGGTTTATAGGGTTGCCAAGTCAGAATTTGACTCAAGGCAATAGGTTTGGTTTGGTTTGGTGGGATCCTTTAGACTCAAACATCTATGATTCTATGGTTCCAACTCTTCAACCAGTAGCCCAAATCCCACCAATACTCAAAGTCTATTCTATATTCTTACCTACACACCCCATACATTTGTTTTTGCATTGTTCTCATAGCATTTACCATATCCAAACTTGGCCTGTACATTCTTGCTGCTAGAGTATAAGGTTTTAAGGACTAGAAACATATATTTACTAATAAATGGCATAACACAGTAAGACAAATGTTATTTATTAACTAACTAATATCAAGTTATTAATATCAAGCAGAAAATGTTCAAACATTCTTATCAGCCCTTAAAACAGCAATATTTTATTTATGCGACTTTCAGAAACACAGAAAGGTGACTGATTTAGAAATAAATCACCAGTTTTCACAATAAGGAAGACAATTTAGGGCCTCTTCTTTTAAAGTTAGAAAGTCAATTTAAATTAACCATTAATATAGTGCTTAAGGCATTAGACTGATAACCAGAAGGCTGGCGGTTCAAAGCCACCAGCCACTCCTCAGAAGGAAGGTTGGGCAATCTACTTCCGTAGTGATACCACCTCAGAAACCCAAGGAGGGGTCGCTATGAGTCGGATCTGACTCAATGCCAGTGTGGTGTTGTATTAATATAGTGTCCTAGGTAGGTACAAACTCATTCATGCTCAATCATAAACTTGCCTTGCCAAAACAGTTTTTAAATGCTCACTATCTACTTAGAGAAAAATGATATTCATGTAACAAAATAATCAGAGTATTCCAAAGCCAAAGCTAAAATTAATTCTCAGATTATTCTGGGCCAGTGTTAAGGAAACCATCTTCAAAGAACTGGAACTTGAATGAAACACAGGACCATATAATTAAAGTATGATAAATCAGGACATTTCGGAAGATAAGAAAGGCAGCGTGAAAATGAGCTCAAGATCCCAGAGGAGCAAATGAGAAATGGCCAAAAGCATTTAGACTTTATTCTCTACAGCACAAAGAGCCTCTTTACCCCTAAAAATGGTAGGACAAAAGTGGTGCTTTAGAAAAAATTAATCTGACAACATCCAAAAGAGTTTAAGTAATTTGAGGGAACCAGAAGTCAATCTGGTAATAACTGGAGTCCATATTGTCAGACTCTATACCAGGGTGGGCAACTTTCTGTAAAGGGCCAGATAGTAAGTATTTTAGGCTTTGAAGTCCACACAGTCTCTGTCACAATTACTTGATTCTGTTACATAAATGAGTGTGGCTGTGTCCCAATAAAACTTTATTGACAAAGCAGGTGACAAGACAGTATTTGGCCTGTAGTTTACTGACTCCTGGTCTAGACTGAGAAGCAGTGGGAAACAACAAAATTTGGTGACCTTTTTTTTTTTTAAAAAAAAGAACATGAGCTAAAAACAAGGTAACGTCAAAAAGGAGCCTGAAAGCCAAGATTTTGGTGTTACTGATAGAAATTGACAAGTTTGGGAGAAAAGTTCATTTAAATATACGGTGTGTTAGTGGTTGCCAGGGGCTGGGGGTGGTGGTGAGGGTGTGACTGTTAATGGATACAGAGTTTCTTCTGGTGTGATGACAACACTCTGGAATTAGTGGTGATAGCTGCACAACTCTGAATATACTAGAATACAGTGAATTGTATACTTTAAAAGGTTGAATTTTACAGTGCGTCAATTATACCTCAGTAAGAAAAAAGTAGAGGGAAAACATGATGAGTATATGAGGTGAGGGCAGAAGACTGACACTGTGATTCTGTAATGCTAGAGTATACCCGTAAATAAGGGCAGAAGATGACGCTGAGAGACTAGGAGATGCTGAAATAAAGGCGCTCTCCAAAGGATAATACATTTTAAGTAATGCCTTAGGGAATGAGAAAAAGAAACTAGACAGAGACGGAATGTTAAGAAAAGGCATAGGCATGAAGGAGAAGCATGACAGAAAAACACAGGCATGCTCTTGGAAAGAAAGTTATTTCCAGTATCAGATAGCATGAAAAGTAGGCAGTAAAAAAATAAATAACCCTTACCAATCCTAATCATATTAAAAAGATATAACTTCCATTAAAGTAAAAGTCTAAGAAAAAAATATTCCTAACAAGTAGTAGAGTTGGGCTAATGAACAGATAAACCCAGTCTTCTTCATCATGAGCCTTTGAAATGATCTTTGTTGTTGTTGTTGTTGTTTGCCGTGGAGTCAAACCCGACTCATAGCGACCCCTCCTTGGGTTTCCGAGGCAGTATCACTACGAAAGTAGGATTGCCCAACCTTCCTTCCAAGGAGTGGCTGGTGGGTTTGAACCGCCAGCCGTCTGGTTAGCAGGCAAGTGTCTTAGCCACTATGCTAGAGATCTCAAAAACAAATGCTTCTAATGTAGCTTTTGAGGAGGAAAAAAAAAAAATGCTGGCAATTATCTTTAAGCAGTAAAAAATGCACACCTGTAACTCTACACACAATCGAATGAAGTTTCAATACTAATCCTGTTTATACTATTGCCAAAGTAAGCCTTGTTTCCCAGACATCTCACCTGAATGGGTGGCCTTCATCTGATTTCTGGATAGCCTGGATCACACCCTTATATATCCTAAAGCTGATAGTCACAGAGAGCAGGGCCAAGGCAATGTAGGCCGTTACACTCACAATGCTGAACACTGTCAAGGAAAGCAGCAGGAATAAGCTGGCACCAAACACCACTCCAGTCTTCTTAATGTCTCTCCAGTAGAGGAGGTCAATAACTAAAAGTGGAAAAAGAAGACATCTGAAATTAGAACATTATTTTATCCATTTGGATTTGCTCCACCTACAAAAATGAAAAGGTCACTAGATAAGTAAAACCAAGACCTAAAACACTAATTTATAAGCTAGATTTTTAAGCCCATTCTCACTTATATATCAGGATAATACCTGCATAAATTTCTATTTTTAACCATAAAATATTTTTCATTCAAATCTACTCCCTATATATCCAAATCATTCTGGCTATACAAGATTATTAAATGGCTCAAGCCTGGAAGACTTCAAATCCCAAACAAGAAGTTACTTAAAAACCATCTTGAGGGTTTCTCCCTTCATACAATGCATGATATATATTCAAATGATTTTTTTTTTTTAAATCCTAACACATGCTCACTAAATGAGATACTTCAGTGACACAAAAATACATCTATAAATAATCACTAACTCAAAAAATGTTGAGAAACTTTATTTAAAAACTACACACTTCACTCTTACAGGTCTGCTTTTATCTCATTTGAAAAACTCAAAAAAACTGTAACCTAAACTGGTATCATTAAAACATTTTGTATAAAGCAAAAGACAGAGGGCCAAGACTTAAGATTACCTAAAAAGCTACTTCCCTCTCAGAGGAGATAAAAACAATGTCATAGAAATTCAGAGTCAAAGAAAAAACGAACACTGTTATATAATGTTTATTAATAGCAAGGAGTTAGGCAAAGCCTAACTTAGCAAGTTTGCTCTGGGCCTATGGTCACAGGGCCACCGTGGGGATCAAATAACCATAAGCCTATGGTCTCCAGATTAGGTTATGTACAACCCAAAGAGAATTCTTCAGTGTGCCAAAGGGTCCTGGAATCCACAGCCTAAGCCCAGCTCAGCTCTACCTGGACTGTGAACAGCTACCTGAGAGAAAAGAACATTTTTTTATAGTAAATATGGATAAACTCAGGAACAGAATTTTCATTTCCTGTTCATTTCTAAGATAAAGGAAGTCACTTAAAAAAAAAAAAAAAACATTTCTAAGGGCTCCTCAGATCCCCTAAGGTGTATATGACCTTCCTTTACTATTAGGGTGTTTATGTGGGGAACTGTAAAATGTTAGGTATCATTACAAAGCTCCTAGTTAGTACTTATCATAGGAGTACCAGTTAACATATTTAAATGCTCATCACAGTGTCTGGCACATAGCAGGGACTCAAAAAAATACGTTCCATTCACCTAAACGTGATTTGATTTGAATATTGTTACTTTAACATTTTATACATGATTTACAACTTTATTTCCAAATTCTGTATTTCAACTATTTATTAAGTCTTCTCTCATCTCAGATTCATTCTGACCCTGCCTACAATGATCTCAATGAGTTTTTGTTCTAGTCAACTAGTTTCAACTATTGTACAAATATACCAGCACAAATGAAGACTGACCAGAACTTTAAATAGTGTATCTAAGTAGTCAAATTGACATTATGAGTACTGGCATATTGGAAAAAGAGACCACAGCAATGTTAAAATTTTTCTGACATTCAGCAAAACACTTACTGAGGTGATACTATTCAAGAAGCTCCATGTAGTAGAACATGAGTTAGGAAACATTCAAATGAAGAAACAAACTTTTCTTTAAGGCCCTGCCCAATTCTAAAATGCTACACAATCCTAGGAAAGATGTTAAGACATATAAAAACAATAAAGATATAAAATAAGTATTGCAACTGTCATGAGAACTCAGAAGAGAGAAAAACTGTAGAAAATTGAAAAAGATTTTGTGAAAGAGACAAATTGAGCTGGGTCTTGAAAAACAGGCAGGCTCGAGAAAAACTAAAGATACAGGTCTAATTATAAGTCACTATTCTGACTGCTAATCAGAAGGCTGGAGGTTCAAATCCACCAGCCACTTTTTGGAAGGAAGATGGGGCAATCTACTTTCGTAGTGATCCTGCCTCAGAAACCCAAAGAGGGATCGCTATGAGTCGGGTCCGACTCAATGGCACATAACAACAACAACATTCTGTTGGCAGTAAAAACCAAACCAAACTCACTGCTTCCCCTCCCCTTTGGTTTCTGAGGTGGACTATGGAAGTAGATTGCCCAACCTTCCCTCCAAGGAGTGGCTGGTGGGTTTGAACTGCCATTAGCAGTCAAATGCCTTAGGCACTACGCCACCAGAGGTCCTTGTTGGCAATAGTTCTTATAACTAATGTTAGTTTTTAAATGGGATACAGTGCGAGGGTAGGAGAAGCTAGGATAATAGCTTTTGGTAAGTTAATTCTTCCTTGTGAGGCTCCCTCCCACCTCCCACAACAACAGCTCTAAAACAGCCAAGCAAAGCACTTAGGCTCTGGAGTTGGAGCACCTGGAGTCAAACACTAGCTCCCTAACTTACTACCTATGTGACCTTAGGCAAGTCACTAAAGCCACTACACTTCAGTTTCCTCTTCTATAAAATGTGCACAGTAGTAGGAGTGATTCATTAAGATGCTGTGAGGATTAAGTGAGATCATGGATAAATATAGTTTTCTTTAATAAGATAATGAATATAAAGTGGTTAGCATAGTACTCTGCAGAAGATAATTCATAATGTATGTCAGGGCTGTTATCTGGTGTTACCATTATTAACACCATTATAGGGTAAACAAAAGTTGATAGCCTAAAAGAATAATCATGTAAGTATATGCCAAATCCATTTTTATATGAACAATTGTTCCTTTATTAAAATGTTTGGTTCTCAAAATCATCAAAAACACTGATTAACCCTCAAAATTCTAAATAACTTAAAATAAATGCAGGTATCTTCATTTTCCTTACCATCATTAAAACTACTCAGAAAAACCTACTTATGAAATAAATTATTTTAGACTTAAAGTTTATACAACATATTATTTAATCAAATTAGGTACTTAATGTAATAGTTACTGTCCAGTTTTAATAACTAGATAAGAATTATTTATAATTCATCTATAGTTTCTACATAAATGAATATACAGAAGGAAACATCAGTGACTAGGATGCAAGAGACTCACATCCTAGTCCTGGCTCTGTAATTCTCTAACTTTGGATTTGACACCATCCTTTCTGGACTTCAGTTTCAGGGAGGGTATTAGATAAATGATTTCTCATATTCCTTCATAAATAAACAAGAGTCGCAGCTAGTATAGAGACACCTCAGTCCTGCATTCAAATTTCCAAACAGTGGATTTAAATCAATTAGGTTTTACAACTCTATCTGTGCCAGATAAAATTCTTAAATATTTTCTTTCTTTTTAGATCTAGAGTTGGGGGAGGGGCTTAGGTATTTTTATTCATATCAATCTTTTGAATTGAACCTTTCCAGAAACTCTTTTTAAGTACCAGGCATTATTAAGACTTTAGTGAACAATGAATTCATATTCCTATAATTTTTTAAGCAATTGCAAAGTACATCACTATGGTAAAAGTATGAGAAGCTAAGAAAAAGTTTGAAAAGCTGGGTACATTTTAAGCCTGCCAGATGTTTTAGAAATATCTCCAGGTTGGTGATCTACATACTCCAATCCTCCAACATTTACAAGGCACTTAAATTATGCCAAACATTGTTTGATGCCCACACAACATCATCTCTTTCAATTATTAAAACCCAATGAGAGGAAGAGTTTCAGACAAGAAATGAAACTTGGCTCTTACATGACTGGACTTAGATCATATAATTACTAAGTGGCAATACACGGATTCGAATCTAGTCTTCTATTAATAAAATTCATGTTCTCCATGTATGATTCCAAACAAAGTTCAGCACATTGAAGTTCTTCAAAATGTTACAGATGCGCATGCATGATGAATGACAGAGTGTAGGCAGACAATTATTAGAAGTGAGATGAATCACAAGGGCCAAGAAGTCCAAGTGAAATTAACAAGATACATTAATTAATAAGAAATATGTACATTTCCTTATTGGATCATGAGGCTGATACAGGACCGGGCAGTGTTTTGTTCTGTTGTACATAAGGTCACCATGAGTCGGAGACAACTCGATGGCATCTAACAACAACATGTAAATTTTAATGTGAACATTTTACCTACTCACTGCCGTGGAGTCGAATCTGACTCACAGCGACCCCTCCCCTTGGGTTTCCAAGGCAGTATCTCTACGGAAGTAGATTGCCCAATCTTCCTTCCAAGGAGTGGCTGGTGGGTTTGAACTGCCACCCTTCTGGTTAGCAGTCAAATGCCTTAAGTACTACGCCACCAGTTAGACCCAAAAAGGAGACAGAAGTCTGTTTCAATAAAGTTGCTGAAAATATCCTTTGTTGTTGTTGTCGTCATTTGCCATCGAGTCGGCCCTAGCGACCCCTCCTTGGGTTTCCGAGGCAGTTATCACTACGGAAGTAGGATTGCCCAACCTTCCTTCCGAGGAGTGGCTGGTGGGTTTGAACCTCCAGCCTCCTGGTTAGCAGTCAAGTGCCTTAGGCACTAGGAAAATGTAATAAAACCAGGGTACATATACAAAAGATTATGTAGCAATTAAGACCTTGATGTAGATCTCTATCACCATGGAATAAAGTTCATAATGATAAATGAAAATGGAACATTACCATAAAATTCATATAGTATATCCCATCAAGAGAATTATGCATGTATAATTATCAGATCCGAAAGTATATCCATTAAACAATGTTTATCTCTGGGTAGTGGGATTACAGATGAATTTGATTTGCTCCCTTACTCCTTTCTGTGGCATCTAAAATTGTCCTGCACTGACAGTAAACATGTATTAGTACTATAATTAATAGAATTAATCACTCCTTTCTATTTCTGTTTGATATCACTAAACAATCTTAAAACATGAGGGTGGTTTTCCAAGTAGGCTTTCCTATTTGGAAAGGAGTTTAAGAGAAAGTTAGGATATTGCAAGGATGAAAAAATATTAGTTTTTAGCAAACAGTTGTCATCTTAACTGCCATTAGCCAGCAATACTAGTCTCTCACAGAGTTCTTAAATTGGTTTCAATACAATTTTTTAATAGA